AAGGAAATTCCCAGCTCAGCTCAGAAACAAGATCCTTACTTTATAGGATGCAGAGTTGAAGTCTGCTTTTTTCCATCCTCTGAACACCAAATATTTCCTAATATAATTATCAAAGTGCTGTGAATGATTTCTTTGGTAGTCCACCAGTTAGAACGTTGTTATAGAACTATATATTTTCAGTGATGATTCTGAATTGCTCTGGAATTCAAGAAAGTAATTCTCCACTAGTCATTAAAGCAGGTGCTTCCAAATGAATCTGAAAAAAATATATAGGTATTTGGTTCAGTTAAAGCAATTCTTAAAATGGCAGCATCTTTTTTTTCAAGCTCACACAGAATGCTGAAGAAGGATATGGCATCTTTAATTTATAGTAGAGTGTGCTGCATATTTCAGGTTGAGAGACAAGCTTGGCTTTCAGCTAGCATGCCTGGAGGCTAACCTTGAAAAACTAAAAATTTAAAACTAAATTTAGGGGCCTTACTAAATTAGATCTAATGTATAATTAAGTAAAATATAATTTATTTTATTTTATTCATTAGATTTATATCTTGCTTTTTTTCTCCATCAGTTCAAGGTGGTAGAGATAAATAATATTTTTTCTTCCAATTTTCTCTCACAACAGCAACCCCCTGAGAGGACTGGCTCAAAGTCACATACTATAGTGAGCTTTCATGGCTGAGTCTCTCCCTGGACTTAATCTAATATAATCAATATGCATGTATTTGATTCTGTCTGCTTTCTCTCATGATAAAATGATAATTTGGCAGCATTTCTGAGGTTGTTTTCTGAAGACTTTGGGGACTTCTAATTTTATACCCTTGAACTTTGTGCATAACAACTCCATTGTGAAATAATCCCTTTCTCTCCTGCTTTTCTTTAAAGTTAAAACACCTTCAGAAGCCTATGTGTTTAAATGGATGGCAGAAAGAAAAAATAATTTGCATTCATTTTTTTTCTAAGCTACTTAAGATAGTGGATACTTGAGACAGGAAAAAAAAACTCTTTATTAAAATTTTGAGTCCAGAAGATATGGGATTGTCTCTGAACATTTCCAGGCTTTTTTTTCAGTTCTCAAAAGATCAACTCACTATTCTTTGAAATGTATTTATGAATAAATTTTGAGGTATGTGTATTATATTTTTTCACTCTTAGTAATACAAACAAACAAGCCAACCAAAATGGCATAATTCCTGGAAATGATTCACACATTCTTTTTCATAATAATAAGACAGCGCTGCATTTATAAATTGTGCAAATAGTCTTATGCTGTGCTTTGGGAGCATGTTTTCTATTTGATGTCTTTCTCTTGCCTATGGTGCCATTTTTACAGTTGTTTATCTAGACATACCTGCATAACTGGAAAAGCTGGGCATTGTGATTTTTATGTGTTCGAAAAAGACGCACCACTTCTAAGAAAAAGAGAAGCAGAGTATTTGTTGAGTGACTGAAGTCTGTTTCCTTGTCAAGAATAAAAGGAGAAACTCCCAATAAACACGCTTACATGAAAGTGCAAAATAAAGGCAGAGACATGTTGACATGAGATAATTTTGCAGATAAGGATAAGAAATTAAACAGTACAAAGACCTACAAAAATACCTCTCTAGAGCTTATGTCATTTTCTATTTTACTGAAAAGGTCCAAATCTACATCAGGAACTGGCAAGCTTTTCCAAGTTTAGACATTTGAAAGGCTAACCTGCTTTTCAAACTGCATTGTTGCCAGTCTGCAGAATAATAGAATAGCAGTCCACACCCTGTTCAGGCAGGAAACCTATACCATTTCTGACAAGTGATTGTCCAATCCCTTCTTCTGAAGGCAAGTCATTCCACTGGTTAATTGTTCTAACTGTCAAGAAATTTCTCCTTAGTTCTAGGTTGCTTCTTTTCTTGATTAGTCTCCATCCATTGCTTCTCGTCCTGCCTTCAGATGTTTTGGAGAATAGCTGGACTCCCTGTTCTTTGTGACAGCCACTTAAATATTGGAACATTGCTATCTTGTCTCCCCTAGTCCTTTTCACTAAACGAGACATACCCAGTTCCAGCAACTGTTCTTTATATGTTATTAACCTCCAGTCCAGAGGTGGAATTCTGCAGGTTCTGACCAGTTCAGGAGAACCCGTAGCGAAAATTTGGAATAGTTCAGAGAACCGGCAAAAACCACCTCTGACTGGAGATTTTACCCTATCCTTCCCCTCCACACCCACCAAGCCACGCTTACAGAACCGGTAATAAAAAAATTTGAATCCCACCACCGCTCCAGTCCCCTAACCATCTTTGCTGCTCTTCTCTGTACTCTTTCTAGACTCTCAATATCTTTTTCGTTGCTTCTGTATCAGAGGTGGTATTCAGCAGGTTCTGACCAGTTCTGGAGAACCGGTAGCGGAAATTTTGAGTAGTTTGGAGAACCGGCAAATACCACCTCTGACTGGAGATTTTACAGTATCCTTCCCCTGCCACGCCCACCAAGCCACGCTCATAGAACCGGTAGTAGAAAATTTTGAATCCCACCCCTGTTCTGGATCCAATCCAAGGAGTTAGTTTCAACTTTCAAAGCTCTTACCAGCTTAGGGTCAGGTTATCTGGGAGACTGCCTCTCCCCAGTTAATATTTCTCTGCCTCATCAAGTCGAACAATGAAGGCATGTTGTGGGTCCTCTATACATCTCATCCCAAGAGATGGGACTTCTCTGTCACAGCCCCTGCTTTGTGAAATCTTCTTTGACCCAAAACGAGATTATCTCCATCACTCTCAACATCCCATAAGTCTTTCAAGACCTGGATATGATATCAGGCTTCGACGTCCCAGAAGACTGGGGAGATTTTGCGATAGCTGTCTTATTGTTTTTCATATCATCCTCTACTCTACTCTCCTTTTTAATGGTTTTCAACTGTGGTTGTTTTAATGTAGTTATTGTTTCATTTTAATTAAGTGCTGTACACCACCCAGAGTCATTTTCGTATGAGATGGGTGGCTAAACAAGTAAGATAAATAAATAAAATCTCTCTTAAAGTGGGTGTGTCCATATGCACATACACACACATGTACCACTATCCTTCATACACACAAATGCAAACATATTGTTGGGGGCGTGCATAAGCGCACTAATGTGCCTACCATCCTTGTCCTATTATTTATTTTTATTTTTTTCATATGTATCCATTTCATGTATTCATAACTATGTTTATACTTATATCTATTATCTTGTAAGCGATTGACAAATCAAATAAACAAAAATAAAATAAAATATTCAAATTCAAAAGCCAAATGGTTCCATTCACTTCAGCTGCTTATAAAAAGAATCCTGCTTTAAAACAGCTGAAGAAGCTGGAAGCCAAAGCATTTTGCTCCTAAGCTTTTATCTTTCTTTTTTTGTTAGCTGCTCTAATAAATATATTAAGCGATTAAATGCATTTTTCTAGGTTCCTGTACAAACTTGACTGAAACACTGCTTGATGGTTTAGAAATTGTTATTAAATCTGTGCTTCAAACGACAGAGAGAAAGAGAGAGAGAAATCTTCTGTATTTCTTGAGTCCTTTTGAAAAATCAGATCCTTGGCTGCTGGTGCTGGGAATCTAACCAAGCTATCAATTTTCTTTTTGCAAGCTGTTGTCCTGAGTGTAAACTGCATCTGTCAGGAAACTAGCAGTGGCCTTCTTCCAGTGTGCACCTGGTGCACACCCTGCTCTGGAATTGGTGTGTCAATTGGCTGCCCGGCTTGTGCTGATTAAATTTCTAATCAGGCTAAAGAAAGATGATTTGCCATGTCCAGGCACCGCAGTTACTGCCTCTGCTTGGATGAATTTACTGAATCAGAATTTAACTTCTTGCTATCGTTTTCCCTTTCATGATGTCCCCTACAAATTGATGATTATGTTTTTCATGCTTATAAACAGTTGGCCTCTAATCATTTGGATCATTGACAGGGATTGTGACTGATCTAAAACAAAGCACAATTTAATTTCTTCTTGGAGCTTTTCAGAGGTGATTAAAGACCGTGCACTGCCCTCCACTGCTAATTTTAGAAACTGCACACCAGGATGGTTTGCAAATTCAAAACCATGGGCCAAAGTATATAATACAGCTTCTGTGTGTATTTGAAATGAAATTTCCATCTTGTTTTCCAGAAATATGACAATTACTATCCAATCTGTGTGCTTTTAAACATAAAATACATACTATGAAACAATAGAACAAATACAGTGTTGCTTTGGAATGAAGACAGGATCTGTTTGTTGTTTGTGTGGGATGTTTTCTGTTCGATTTGTGAACATAGTTTTTCTATACAATTGATCATTACTTTTGGTAGAAAGCAAAATGGGAAATTTAAGATTGTTTATGAATTGCAATTTAAATATAGGTAGCCAAATAATGGCAGAGGATCTTTCTGGATTATTTATTTCCATCAAATACTTATCAGAATATGATATGGGAAAGGTTGTTGTCTCTTTAATAAAGGCAAATTAAGCACAGAAAAGAGAGAAACAAACAGAAGAACTTTGTCAGATGCTTGAAAGATTCAGCTGGGATTTATCTCTTAAGTAACTACTCACATTACTCACTGGTTAGCTGGAAATGTAGATGGCCCCACAAGATTTGTGTATTGGAACTACATGTGTAAAATGGTGTTTTTCTAAGAAGTTTTCTGTCTGTCTCTTGTGGCAGAGGGAGAGGGAAGAACTGAAGACTTCCTTTAGTCCATTTCCCTTTTGACCTCACAACTTTAACATTTTTGTCCTCTGTAACATATTTGTCTGCATCGGTCACAAGAAGATCATTTCAAAGCATTCTCAGTGGAGCTGAGCTCATGCCATTGTATGAGCATGAAGCTGAAGCTGAGATGCTATTTCTTCCTCCTGGCTTCATAGGAAAAAAAAGAGGGGGAGGGGATATGCTATTTTGCAAAAAAAAACATTAATTCATTAATTATAAGCCACCCAGCTTTCATGGAGCAGCAGATGTTTGCCACAATTTGCACTGTCTCTTTCTCTTTTGTGTTTTAGGTTCTCTCTCCATAAATCAAGTTCTGAAGAAAGTGCAGTTGGTCAGTATACTTCCTCTTTTTTAAAAAATTTATCTATCTATCTATCTATCTATCTATCTATCTATCTATCTATTTATTGGGGGGGAGCGCTTTGTTTTGAAAAAGCCATAACCAAATGTATGCGAATTCATGATTCTCAAAACAATAAATTCATTTGTTCTTCTACTTAACACTTTTACTTCTGAAAGAGCTTTTTCCTCCAAAATCCACGTTAAGCTCTTAAAAGTTACAACAGCACTGGAAAAAGGGACATATGACCTTTTTTTTCCACTTAACAACTGTTGCAGCATCCCCTGTGGTCACAGTTCAGATGCTTGACATAACTGGCTCATATTTATGACGGTTGCAATGTCCCAGGGACATGTGATCACATTTTATGACCTTCTGATAAGCAAAGTCAGTGGGGAAGCAGAGACTCAATTAACAAGAAAAGGTCATAAAATAGGGCAAAACTCACTTAGGAATTGTCTCGCTTAGCAACAGAAACTTTGGGCTCAATTGTGGTCATAAGTCAAGAACTGCCTGAGGTATTTCCTTGTGTCTGTGATCAATTATGTTGAGTCATACTAAACCCAGAAGAATAAGAGGTGTTTTTATTTAATTGTTGACCATAATCTGTTTTTCCCTAAGTTATGGATGCCTATTGTTCTTCTCCATACCCTTGGCTTTTTCCTTTTCCTTTCTCTTTCCCTTTCCTTTCCTTTTTTAGCAAAGGTCTTCCCTACTTGAAACCAAATATTTTGCAGCCTTTGGATTTCCTTCTAACTCTGTATTTGCTTTAATAAAGAAAATCAGAAAGTGCGTCTTAATCAAATGCTGGACATCACCAGTTTGTAAATGAAATTTCAAAACAGAAAGCAGAATATATTGTAGACTTTTAATCTACATGGTTCAAAACCACTGGAATTTGCAAAAATGTCTGCAGAGATGCAGGTTCATTAAAAAGAAACCCTATATGTTACTTGTTTATTAAAATATTTTAATAGCTTTCCTTATTCAAATATAATAAATATGTAGGACAGCTCATTTAAAACTGACATTGTTTTTGTGAAGGAAAATGCACAATAAAAATATTTTAAAAATAAATAAAACTGATATTGTTTTTGGAGCTGAATGATGATAGTGATTTTCTTTTCTTATTTAAAATCTTTTAAATCGCATTTTTAAAATCTTTAGGTAAAGTAGATTGGAAAAAGAAGAATAAATACTTCTGGCAAAACTTTCGAAAGAATCAGAAGGGACTAATGAGACAGTCTTCAAAAGGTAAAAAAAAATAATGAATTTTTTTTTTCATTATTAAATTGGGAAAGAAGGTTAATATAGCTATTGGGCCCTTAAGCAGGATTTATATACTCAGCTTTAATCTTTAGCAAGGATGGTCATAATTATTTTATAATGCCTTGTGTTCAATGAGTTCCAAAGTATTAGAAAAGTGGGTTATCTACTGTATTGTCACTTATTAACCCTGAGCAAAGCTTCAGGTATTTTTTTATCCCATGGAACAATTATATGCTAATTATCATGAGATAAAGCTCTTTTTAATGTCATTATGCTACTATTCACAAGTTGGGTCTCTTGGGGGGGAAAAAAAGTCCTTTAGCACCCTTCCATTGGAAGGGTCAGCTTAATCAGAGAGTGTCTGAACTTAGGTCAAGCTCACAAAATTCATGGTTCTCTACTTCCATTATGCAGACACTGTCATACAGACATCCCCAGGGTAGGATCAGGGCAACTGATAAAATGTGCATTATGACTATATAAAGCAAGTCCTGATTTATATAGTTGCAACCAAATATGATAAAACCAGTGTTTGTGTTGTCATGTCACAATATATATTTTGTTACCTTTGTTCATCAACTCAGTGTCAGGGCTCCGGTAGTTACCCACATTTAAATCATGAGTCTGTAGCCAGATTTTCAAAGCTTAAAGAAGATTTATTATGAGTAAACATGCTGGTGCTGCCTGGGTGTAACCGACTCTGAGACACATCATTCATTGTCACCCTTAGCCCTGCTTTCCCTCCATCCCCTGGGTGTATCATTCTCCAATGGGACACATCCACAACCAAGAGTCACCAATCATACTCTCCAGTTAGAATTTTGCATGGCAGAAACTTCGTCGCCTAGAAACTATCTATGAAAACATTTATGGAATGCAGTTTTGGTTTTGTAAGCTGCTGCACTATTTCCCCCTTCCACTTCTATTGGCAACTTTAAAAATTCAGAGAAATATTTTATGAGTTGACATTCAGTTTATAGTGACTTCAGCTTTGATAATTCTATATTGATTTTATTATTGTTATGAACCAATGGCATCTTAGATGACTTTGTATCTCATAGATAAAAACATATTTGCAGTTTTAGGAAACATACAGTTTTACGATAAAATTAAGTAGTCCATCCTCTCTTCCATATGGCTGCCTTCAAAAGTATAAATTGGGTAACCCTTGATCAATTTTATTAAAATATGCTTTGGTTTAGCAGCTATGGATAGTTCCAATTTTATAAAATTTACATCTTTCATACAAGATATTATTCACTAGATGTTAGAATCTAAGATGCTAAACCTATTAGTGTTTTAATGTTGATAAAATTGTCATAATGTCAAGCAGCCCAGACAATTTGCATAGTTTCCCTATTCAGATTCCGCAAAAAAAAAAATGCATACTGAGCAAAGTGATGTCATAATTTTCTGAATTGTCACATAAACATCATTATTTTCCCGAATCGTTGCAAATCATATACACATCAAATGAAGCATTCCATACAGAGGAGTTAAAAATAGCAATTTCCTATCTCCAGTGTCATTCTCATTCTGAAATGTTAAGATCATTGCAGTTTTCAAAACTTAAATAAAGATGTTGAAATGTGAGTAAGCAGGGAATTAAGTAGATTAAACATGGGAAATTCACTGGGAAAATCATGCCTTACTTTGCTTGACTCATATTTCTTTTGTATTGAAATACCTTTATTCTTTCATCTTTCCTATTTATCTCCAGGGGAAGATGTTGGTTATGTGGCAAGTGAAATCACAATGAGTGACGAGGAGCGGATCCAGTTAATGATGATGGTCAAGGAGAAGATGATTACTATTGAGGAAGCTCTTGCAAGGGTACAGAATGCAAATACATTATATATGCTAGGGACAAATGATAGGCCTGATTACATCAGGGAATCACAGAATCTTGTGCATAGCATCCATAATTATGAGAATCAAACAAATACAGGGAGTTTCTAAATAGCTGATTTTGTGGATCAAACAGACATTTCTGTCTTCTCCAGGCAGAAACAGAATCCTGAATGAACACATTAAAGATCTTAACGTAAAAAAAAAAAATCAGCCCTGGAAACATTTATTCTATTCTTTAATGTTAATCTGAACAATAAAAAGATTATATATGTGTGTGTGTGTATTCAGGTCTTGGCGTGTTCAGGTCTTTTCCCTTGTAAGATTGAGAGCATCTTGGCAATGTTTCAATGAAGTCCCACTCGCCATCTTCAGGCTGGTGCTTTCAGTTTCGTGCTTGTTCAAAAGCACGAAGCCAAAAGCACCAGCCTGAAGATGGCAAGTGGGACCTCATTGAAATGTTGCCAAGATGCTCTCAATCTTACATGGGAAAAGACCCGAACACACCAAGACCTGCATACCTGTACCTGTGAAAATCTACAAAAACAAATATATATATATGCCCTGCCACATACATCGGACAGACCAATAGAAGAATAAGTACCCGCCTGGATGAACACAAAAATGCAGTAAAAAAGATGGAACACACTTCCTCAATAGTCCAACACATGAAAGCTACAGGTCATAGATCAGCTTCAATGGCACCAAAACCCTAGCTGCTATAGAAAACCCCAGCTACAGAATTATCAGAGAAGCCATAGAGATTGAAAAAAAGGCCTGAAAGCATGAATAGAAGAGGTGACTCCACCAATTATCTGGAAGCCTGCATTCACAAACAAAAAAACCTCCACACCACAAGCCAAGCAAACATATGGGCACAAATAGACACCCCCCCGATACCTCCAGCTCAAACACACCCCAACCAGGCACCCAGATGAAACCTAGCTTCCTAATAAATGATAGCCACCCTTTTACCCGAAGCCAAGCTGCACTAAAAGCCTCCAATACAGGAAACACAACGTTGCCAGCCAATCAAAAAACGCTACAAAACAGACAGAAGATATTAGAAGCACCAATCAAGCAGAACACAGCAAATTGCAAGACCAATAAACACAGACTAAGACTCCCAACCAATCAGGATGAAGAAAAAACCATTCTGACACAGCATAGGCTAGCACCAAATTTAAAACAGAAACAGATGTGGAAGCCTGACTCACAGACGAACACAATACACAAGCCTGATAATGGCAGATGAGATTCTGCCGAAACGTCGCTACAACTTTAAAAGCACAACTATAATGATGTGGGAAAATACCCAAACAAAGCTGAATACCATACATATAGATACCTGCAAAAACTTAAGAAAACACACACACACACACACACACACACACATATATTACATTTATACAAAACATATTCACAATGGATGAAATTTTAGACAAGACTATTTTCAGCTCGGTAATAATACAGTATATAACTAAAATTCCTATTCATATAAAATTATTTCTCCATTGAGGATTAGGTTTCCAGATTGGTTTGTGCGTGTGTGCACGCAAATATGTGTTTGGATGTGTAATTTTTTCAAAATAGTCTAAACAACAAAGATTCCCTTGTACAGTAGGTTAAAAAAAGATGTGATATAAATGTATTAGAAATATATACATATTTGAATAATACTTGCATTACACAAATATATAAAAATTGTAACTTTATTGTTGTACTGATATGTCTTTTCTTGTATTTTTCAGTTTTTTGATACAGCACTTTTTATATATTTTTCCTTCTTTTGGGCAATGTATATAACATTACCACTATCATTTTTATGTTTTGCCCTTTTTTCTTTTGTTATTAATAAATAAGCAATATAAATAGTTAAATAAATAAACATCTAAAGAACAAAAATACCTTCATAATTGTTTTGTACTGATACTAACAGAGCTTTAATTTCTCCAATAATTATTTGCTTATAAAAAAAAAACCAAATAAATATACTTTTAGCAAGTGAGAAAATTGAGGGATTACTCTTTGTTTTATTTTCATTTCAGCTGAAGGAATATGAAACTCAACATCGGCAATCAGGAAACTTGGATGCATCTGAATGGTCTGAAAGTCCTTATCCGACATTTGATGTTTCTTCCAATTGCAATGTAAGTCCGTAGGATTCTACCAAGTTCATGGTTACTATAGACTTTTAAAAACATACAGTAGTTGAATGTCATTAGAAGAATGGAAAATAAAAAAGACCTTCAAATTGTAGGTAGTCCTTGACTTTCCATCCTTGACTGACCATTTGAAGGTATGACACCCCTCCAAAAAGGGACAACCAAGATATGCTGGTCCAATGGCCTCCCCCTCATGTAGTCACAGAAATGCATATTGCACATTTGGCAACTGGCCTACAGAGTCCATTATAGTGGGGAGATGGCAACATGAAAATGTAATAATTGAATTTATGGCCATTTGACGCATCCCATGGTCGTATAACTGCAATTTGGTTTATGGACCGCTGCATTCACTTAATGACAACCAGAAAAAAATTGAGTCAGTCATGTGGGTGCCTTGAATTATGACTGTCACAGCATACAATGAAAATTCCAGTAGTAGGACAACCTATAGAAATATAAAAGATAAATTCCACAAGGATTGAATGTTGGGTATTTTTACTTCAGAGAAGTTTAGGATAGAACTGGACAGGAACAAAAGTTAGCCAGATCTTATCTTTCTTTCCAAAGACCCACCAGAGGAACTGGGTAATTGGACTTATTTCTAAAGGCAGTCAAATATCTTTCCAGGCTTTTTATTTTAATTTCAAGGAGTCTTTTTATTTTATTCTAGCACTTCTTGAAAGAAAGGTCAACATAAAAGTAGGAAAAGTCCTATTTTACCATTTAATTAATATTGAACTTGCTTCTTCCTCTTCACCTTTTGTTATTTATGGTTTTTCTCATGGCAAATTGAGATGTTTGGTCTCTGTCTGAGCCTAAAAAGAGTTAGCAAGTTACCCATCATCCCTTTATCTGCAGTAAGGCTGCTGTCTGTTACTACTATATTCTTAATTATATGCTCCGTTTAGACCAGTCCATCTCTGACCTTCTGGAACTGTGATGGCGAACCTATGGCACTTGAGCTGCAGGCAAACTTACCTCACTGCACATGTGCGCGCCTCACAGCTGATTTTTGGCCATTTGAGGCCTTTTTTTGGTCTTCCAGAGGCTTGAAAAAAGCCTTTGCAGGCCGAATAGGCCCATTTCATCACTTCCTGTAATACTGGAAGTAACGAAACAGGCCTATTATTCATCCTATAAAGCCTGCAGAGGCTTTTTTCAAGCCTCTGGAAGGCCAAAAAAAGGCCTCAAACCGGCCAAAAATCAGCTGTGAGGCGTAGTACAGGTAAGGGGACAGCAGCAGGGGGGATTGCATGCCCAGGGTGTGTGTGGGAACGTACATTGCATTTTGGGTGCTGGTGTGCCAGCTTGTGCGCACTAGTGCACCCACAATTTTTGGCATAGGAGCCCAAAAAGTTTAGCCACCACTATTCTAGAACATGCCAAACTGGCGACTGCATTGGATTCAGAGAGATTTATTTCAGTATTCTGATAGCTCCATGTCCAGTTTGTAGTTTAGGGAACTTTTCCACATCTTTCTTACTGTGTGTTCTCTAAGAAGTGGTGATGTGTCATGGTGTAATTCAGGCTGACTTTTCATAAATATTTTGTTATACTTACTATGGGTTTACTCATAGAACTAATGTTTAATTTAATTATGACGAGTTCAATAAACTACAATTGATTGAGTTTGTACAAATTAATCCATAAGCCATAGTTTATAATAATGATTAAGTTCACTCAACATATCAAAACAAAATAAAGCATATTACCTTATGATTTAGCATAAATCATAAGCCCAGTCCTGCTTTTCAAGGACGTACTTATCAGATCATAATTTGAAGGAATTTAGAAACCATAATTAATTTCAAATGACCCAATGACCTCTTTACTTCCAGAAGTCCTTGAATCTAGTCTACTGTTCCAGAAATCAATGTCCACAACTACAGATCAAGTTGTACATTTCATAAAGGAGCAAGAAAATCAACTTAAAATTGTTGGAGTTCTCCAAATCTCTTTAAAATATCCAATTTAAAATATGTTGATTCAGCAATAAACCCTTCAATGACTCTCCAGAACAGCAGCCAAACAGACAGCAACAAGTACTTTCACTCCACCCAACATCTTGTCATTATCCTGTCAATAGCAGACAGATAAACAAACAAAAAAGTTCAAGTTCATCTACAGATGAAAAGGACACCACATTTCAAAGTCCAAAAATCTTTCTTGAACCCAAAGAATGTTAAGACAGGAAGTACTCCAATTTATTTCAGAGACTGTCAACCCACCTTATCAGTCAAGGTGGAGCTGGTGTTCTAATTATAATTAATAGTAGTATAGCCCTGTCAGTGTCTGGCGACATGTTATGAGTAACAAGAAAACAAGACTTTCTGAGAAAACTATCATATTTAACACAGACAAATATTAACACAGATGAGATAAAAGGGAGGAGAAAAGTAGAAGGGAAGATTACAATGCTAATATTAAAGGTGTAATATATTAACATTTTTGCTTTTCAGTGGTTCTCTCTGCTGGTGTCTTGTGAAACTTCTAATAAGATCACAAGTTATTACTCAAGTAATATCTGCAAATATAAATATAATTAACAGAAGCAGGGAAAACCATTACTAAAACATAACATCATCAAAAGCAGCTTAGAGTCAACATGTTGTGATAATCCGTTCTAAAGTACAATAAATATGTATCTCCCTGGGTTCATTTTATCCATATATAGATTTGTTTATCACTATATATAATTTTGTCTTAGTGAAATAGGTAGCCTTAAGGCAGTTAAAAAATGACTACTAATATTAGCTTCAGCCTTAAAATGTATCTTTTTTTAATCTCACTGTCAGTGCCAAAAAGTAATGTATTATTCCTCCTACTTATTGCCAGCATTTAAATATTTTTTCAGTAAATTAATACATTGTTTCTTGTTATCCTTAACTTCTCAGCTACATTAGTTCTTTCATTTCTTTTTCTGTCTCTCCCCATGTTCAGTACCTACAGAAGAGCATCTTCTAAAGTTTCCATCTTGGTTGAGAATTCTAGTAATTAAAATCTCAAAAATCTCTTCATTGGGGAACATGAGATTAGTAAAAGGCAGCATGGTATGATTAAGTGGCTATGTAGTACATAAAATCTAAATTATATAAGAATTAAGTATGTATTCAACGTATTCTGTTTTTGTTGGGGATGGGCGGAGGGAAAAAATCTAATTCTTTGCTCCATTCCTCACTCAAAGAGAAAATTTTAATTGTATAGTATTTGAATACCTTTCCCCACATCTCTGATTCAAGGAATCAACATAATAGAAGTGTTCAAGCCTTCTAGATGTGCTGGATCACAAATCCAATCATTTGCTCAGCCAGGGCAACAGAGAATTGGGTTACAGAAGACTGAATAATGACAGATATATTCTTCTCCTCAGGAGGGGCTTATGAAAAGCTTTAAGATGGTTCAGAGTGCAATTCACTAGCTAGCTTGCATTAAGCAGTGCAACTCAGGGAGTTCCTTATGACAGAGCGAAGTTATGGCCAATGTCCAAAGCAATCCTACATGAACCAAATGCCTCTCTGACTGCATGTTGCTGTCATGCTCGATTCTGTGCCATCAAATGAAAATAGAATAATAGATCCTTGCCAGTGAGATTTAAATGGAATTGGAAGTTAATAATATGTTCAAACTACATCTGTGCATCTACAGTTTAATTGAGCTCCAGATCCAAGGGTACTGGACAGAACAATAGAGCTTCATTAACACTGTTTTTCCACTGTCTTGCCCTGTAGTTCCTTTCTCATTTCCTACGTGTGACAACTTTCAAATTCTCATTTTATATTCAGTGGGAAAATCAAGGCTTAACAAGTTGAAACAGCCAGCAGGGGATGCTGTAGAAGTAATGAATTTCTTGGACCTCTGCCTCACAGGAACATATATACAAATCAAAATTAAAACTCTCCTCATTTTCAAATATGTGAATTTCATAGTTCCATAGGGAGGAAAAAAATGTATAGTTTTCAGTCATTCCAAACCTGGCATTTTCTAATTCTCCTATGTTATTTGGAGTTGATGGGAATTATAGTCCAAGCTATTGGAAAACCATCAGGATAGGCAACATAATATGCTGAATTTTCAATGAGACCAGGCATTCTTTCTTTTTTGCTATTTCTTAGGGTGATTTCTCTCTGTAACTTAATGAAACTATTTTTAAAACAGAAATGAAAGAATGGCTGTATTATACCACTTTTAAAAGAGTTTTAACCTTATGATTTTAAATGTTGATCAGTCAAATACACATACAGTATTTGTGTGGTGATCTGACAACATATTTACCCCATATAGCATGGAAATATGACATGATTAAATAGTTCCGATGAAATTGGTTTAATAGTTAGTTCTATTAATAGTTTGTTCAAAAAGGGAACTAGGTTTCTATAACAGGACATAACTCTGTAATGTCTTGCTGTGTGTGTGTACATGCATACATACTTTGTGTATGTGTGTGTGTACATATATACACACCCCAGAATCAAGAAGGAACTTATTTGGTAAATGTTTTTTAAGTAAGTGACTGGAACCAATCTTTTGAAACATGTTTCAGAAACTATTCCATTATTGAATCAAGCCCTCAGTTGAAATTACAACATTTTCCCATCATGAATACCTAAAAGAAAATCCCTATTTGTTTTATCAGTTAATATTCAGTGTGCTTCTTGCTAAAGTGGCCAGTGGAGCATGCTTGTTCATTAGATGCCAGGTAGACTGGCACACAGTAGAGAACTCTTGCAAATTGATTGAAGAAACTGTTGTTACTGCTTACATGTTAGATGGATGCAGAGTTAAACTATGTTGAATTTTCCATGTTCCATTTCACGTGAGTGTCCTCCCATTTCTTCAAGACCCTAGAAAGTTGATGCAATTTACCAGGTTGAAATTGGGACTTATGGATTTATTTTGTCAATTACATAATTTCAAGCTCAACTGTTGTAAAACTAATAAATGAATTCTATTACATTTTGGAAATGTATAGCTACTCATTGTTC